ATTACTCATTACCACCACTATGATCATCACCACCACCACCACCATAGTCATTACCTCATTTTTCTTATATATCAATATATTGTGGATCTTACACAATTTGGCGGGAAYGTTGCACAGATCACCCTTGAATCCTTGCGGGCAGTTGCACCAGAAGTCATTCATCCCAAGGCTTTCACACGTAGCTCCATTAAGACATCTCGAAATAACACAGGGATCCTGAAAAAGAAGATAAAATCAACAATATTTCAGTGATAAAATAGCTTTTGATCTCGAGTTGATTTTGATCCTAGTATAGAGATAAAGCAACAAGTATCGGCAAACCCAGCACAAAGCGGTTAAACATGCTTTTGGCATGTATGGATCGTAGTAATTGAATATTATATTGAAAGAAGAGATTTCTAACACCTGTACAATAGAAAGATAAGATAAAGAGAGAAGTCTGCCTTTTCCGATTCAATAGACCAGTTTCGAATTCCAAATTACCGCTGATTACAGACTCATTTGCACAGGGTTAGCCTCGTATCAGTGTTTAAATGTTCACAAATACCAACAGAAAAGTAAAGAATGCACAACTTTAACAATACAAACATTTTGAAACTCGACGGACCTTGACCGGAACACGTGAATATTCTGCACAAACTCGAGGCTAACCCTGTGCAAATGGGTCTGTAATCAAGGAACACAGCGGTAATTTGGAATTCGAAAGGGGTCTATTCGCAGCTAAAGAGCTAACCGAAATACACTAAGTTATTATTATATGGTAGAGCACTGATAGAAATGACTTGCACGCTTACCGTGAACCGAGTATAGTGGTGGTAGTGTTGGGATGGTTTTAATAGTCCAGAATATTTGTTGGTCTCAGTTCGAAGCATCTGACATTCGTACAAACCATCTTTGTCAGGCACATCAGCCACGTTYAGCGAGAAACACTCTGGTGAACGATCACATTTCCAACAACACTGAAGAATGTTTGGCACTGCAATGGCTTGAATGATGTTCCCATCGAGTTTGAAGAACGACATTTTACTGAAAGAAGATCCTTCGGATTGAGCATGTGAATTGGGAGCTTTGGTAATGACTAGTAGGAATAGAAGACCGAACATTGGTAGTATTTTTTCGATGTTTCGCACTACTTTCAAGTTCAAGTCTTCAAGCTACAAATGAATAGAACCTCCCTCTATAAACTAGAAACTTACTGAAAGAAGATCCTTCCGAAAAATCACAAAACGAAACGAGTAAAATGATGAAAACTTGAGAACTGCAAAAACTCATTGTAGAGTACTTCAAGTAAATTCACAGCTTGCTTCAACAATACAACACTTTTTCTTYAAAGAAATAKTCCTAATTGTCCTTAGACCCAACGTAATCTGAAGATCAGGGACTCTAGGAAAAAGCTATGATATATAAATATAAAAAACGCAAGGAATACAAAAGAAATTGCGGAAATCGGGTTATTACTGAGACTCAGGTCAGTTCAATGGATCCACTTCAATATAATATTGTAACCGTCGGTTACTYAAGTTAACAAATAAGGCAACTGATANAAGAGTCCCTCAGTACTGATGAAAGGAAGAGTCCCTCAGTACTGATGAAAGGAAGAGTCCTTCAGTACTGATGAAAGGAAGAGTCCCTCAGTACTGATGAAAGAAAGAGTCCCTCAGTACTGATGAAAGAAAGAGTCCCCCAGTACTGATGAAAGAAAGAGTCCCCCAGTACTGATGAAAGAAAGAGTCCCTCAGTACTGATGAAAGAAAGAGTCCCCCAGTACTGATGAAATGAAGAGTCCCTCAGTACTGATGAAAGAAAGAGTCCCTCAGTACTGATGAAAGAAAGAGTCCTTCAGTACTGATGAAAGAAAGAGTCCCTCAGTACTGATGAAAGAAAGAGTCCCTCAGTACTGATGAAATGAAGAGTCCATCAGTACTGATGAAAGGAAGGGTCCCTCAGTACTGATGAAAGAAAGAGTCCTTCAGTACTGATGAAAGGAAGAGTCCCTCAGTACTGATGAAAGAAAGAGTCCCTCATTACTGATGAAAGAAAGAGTCCTCCAGTACTGATGAAAGAAAGAGTCCTCCAGTACTGATGAAATGAAGAGTCCCTCAGTACTGATGAAAGAAAGAGTCCTCCTGTACTGATGAAATGAAGAGTCCCTCCAGTACTGATGAAAGAAAGAGTCCTCCAGTACTGATGAAATGAAGAGTCCCTCAGTACTGATGAAAGGAAGGGTCCCTCAGTACTAATGAAAGAAAGAGTCCTTCAGTACTGATGAAAGAAAGAGTCCTTCAGTACTGATGAAAGAAAGAGTCCCCCAGTACTGATGAAAGGAAGAGTCCCTCAGTACTGATGAAAGGAAGAGTCCTCCAGTACTGATGAAAGAAAGAGTCCCTCAGTACTGATGAAAGGAAGAGTCCTCCAGTACTGATGAAAGGAAGAGTCCCTCAGTACTGATGAAAGGAAGAGTCCTTCAGTACTGATGAAAGGAAGAGTCCTTCAGTACTGATGAGAGGAAGAGTCTCTCAGTACTGATGAAAGGAAGAGTCCCTCAGTACTGATGAACGGAAGAGTCCTTCAGTACTGATGAAAGGATGAGTCTCTCAGTACTGATGAGAGGAAGAGTCCCTCAGTATTGATGAAATGAAGAGTCCCTCAGTACTGATGAAAGGAAGGGTCCCTCAGTATTGATGAAAGGAAGAGTCCCTCAGTACTGATGAAAGGAAGAGTCCCTCAGTACCGATGAAAGGAAGAGTCCCTCAGTACTGATGAAAGGAAGAGTCCCTCAGTACCGATGAAAGGAGTTCCTCACTACTGATGAAAGAAAGAGTCCCTCAGTATTGATGAAAGGAAGAGTCCCTCAGTACTGATGAAAGAAAGGGTCCTTCAGTACTGATGAAAGAAAGGGTCCTTCAGTACTGATGAAAGGAAGAGTGCTTTTTTACAGAACGGAGCACGGAAGAAGCTGTTTTATATGTTAACTATACCATACCACCCTTAAAACTACGTTTTTTACGGGGTAAAAGCAAAACGGTTAAACTGACAAATGATCCTTGTACTGATGTTATGGACTACTCTAAAGGGCAACCCATTGGGGGACAAAAAAAGAGAGTGTACTGAATAACATTTTCTGTGAAATTCTCTCCATGAAACGCTTAGAAGTCGACGAAAACAAAATTAAACTTCATAGCGAATGAAATCAAATGGAAATGTTTGATTAAAAAAGGATAAGTTTAGTAAAAAGACTTTAATTGAATGTGCAGTATAATTCAAGCCAATGTCTTTCATCTTTCGAGCAGAACAAAAGAAAAAGACGATATAACATTATTGAAACACCACTGGACTAATATAATATTACTTAGATGCCGATGGAACACTGAATAGTGCATTCCAAGACCGAAGTGCATTGTGGGTCATAGTGACATTGTCTAAAGTAGGATTAATAATAATTATTTATTCTATTTTTAGTGTATTACATCTAAAACAATATAGTAACTACACGTAGAGAGGTAATTGCTGTAATGCCCTTTGGTCTTGGTATGCACTATTCATTATGCAGTATTCAGTATTCGACCTTTTTCGGAATAGCTGTAGTCAAAAGCTACGAATATGATGAATCGTTTACAAAGATTTCGATGGAGTTAACTAATTTTGTTCCATGTATGGCCAACCTGGCTGCAT